AGTTTTCCCCTTTTACCTATTTTTACTTTTGAACACATGTCACGGATGCCTGCGGGTAATGGTGGTAATTGATCAACAGCACAGTGGAAGCCTTATGGCGGAAGCAGTCAGTTGATCAATTTGTGAGTCCTGACTGCTTGGGTGCGGCCCTTCGGGGAGTACTCGTGGTGGTTGTGGTTGGCGAGTTCCTAGCTAAAATGGAACAATTGAGTGCAGCTAGGCCTCGCCATTGACCAGAGTGGGGTTTATTGTTCCATACACAATAAACTGTTCTGGACTCTGGTGCTGTTTAGGCCCCTACTCTGTGGGGATTGTCTAACTCGCCAGGGGGCGTAGTACGGTTAAAAGTGGCTTGGGCCACCGTGAGGTTAAGCCTTTCAGGCAGGAGATCACGTTAAACCCTTGCCACAAATTTCGACTTTTTATATATGATAGGGTAGTGGACTCTGAAAAGAAACGATTCAATTCTCAGTTAGTGAGAGAACGAAGTTACTTTCGGAACAATCCAATCTCGCGATTAAAACAATTGGGATAGAGTGTGCTGATATTTAGAAGATAGGCAACTCAGAAATTTCTTGGCACTAAATGTACGAACCCGGGCTATGCGATGGCAAAGAAACAAGAAATGTCTATATTTCACCCTTTGTCCATGACATGTAGAGTCAATCTCCTCGCATTTTCAACCAAGATGGATAAAGTGGTCTAAAAATGCGTTAAACATTAATGAAGATCCAAGTTTAGAACGTCCACGGCCCATTTTCAATGTGATTACTTGCGCGTCAGATTTGATTTTGCAGAACCGCCTTTCAGGTATGGCTCATTTTGAGATTTTCGCCAAATATACGTAGGACATACCGATTAGGATGATAGCTGCGCTATTTTTGCCAAAGCTAATAAGAATGTTTAGGACTACAAAAGGAATCTTGCTGTCTGATGAGTTACCCTGCAGTAAAAGGGGAACGTTGATCAAAGTTATGGATAAGTTTAGCAGAAAAGATCGGCTTTTAAATGGAAAAAAATCTACTTTCGCACGGAGCAGACGACACCTCTTTCTTTCTATTGACACATATATCTGGGGAGGGAGGCGGCCCAAACAGGTGCTTGTGAAGAATCTCTTGTCTTTCTAAGTGCGTTCTAAGTGGGAGTGATAGAGCTGCGTATACTCTGGTTGAAACGGCGGCGGTGAGCCCTGACTGGTAGGCACTGCCATTCGGTTAGTTGCGTAGTAACGTGCGTGTGGTAACCCCAAAAACCCCGGCAGCTATAAATAATGAGGCGCAGGTAGACGTCACGCATTTTCTTGACCGTATATTTGGAAAGTCGGAAGATACTGCAAGTGTACTGGGCCGCCAGCTTATAGCGACTGTCTCACTTACTAGGCGGTACCTATTCAATTTGAAAGTCCGTCATTTGGTTGTGTCCGTCGTAAGGTTAAGCCTCGACCCAGACACTTATCGCTTTCACCTCACCATAGTGGATTGCTTAACTATTCCATGATTTAATGTCAGACTTTGAGGACGGGATTGTACAAATTTGCTTGCGATAAGTTTATCCGGTGCTCAAAGTCAACTTTTGTTTACACTCGAGTACAGTTTGCTCAACTTTTTCAAATAATTATGGGCAGAAATTCCACAATCTTCCATTCTTTAAATTTCATATTAAATTTTAATTACCATTAGTGTTATAATATGTGAGCTTTTAACTCATCAGACGAGTAAAGTAAATCTCATTGAAATCTATTTATAGCGACCACGATGTCTTTATTTATTTATAAGTTTCCGTCATTAACGAATGAGTACAAGAAGGGGTTGACCGACTGTCTGTTGCATGTTAAATAAAACTTTTTTTTCGTATATCACACGTCAGCGTCGACCACGACCTATGTCTATTAAAATTTTCTAAGTAATTGAATTTTTATTTGCTTGCTAACAAGCGATCATTATTTACGTTTCTATTTTTTGTTGAATCTTTGTGTAAGGTAGATTGCTCCGTGCACGCATAGTGCAATATGTTCATGCTCCGAATTACAAAAAAAAAGTTCTCTGAACTTGAACAGACATTAATGATCGATCCAATCCAAGTATATTTGCCCTTCGAATGGTTTTGGTGTCGAAACTTTTCTAGCATGGGTCTTATAGTTTTCTTTTTTACCCTTTACGGGTTAAGTTCCTTAACCAGCTTTATTGATTTTTTGAATTCCCTTCGCTGAGAACTGAGAAGAAAGTCCAACAAATAGTATTTAATATATTTTCATTATGTTTACGTATTTTACATTATTCAGGTATGTTAAGTGGGTTACTATCGGCGCATGTTCCTATCTCGGGTTTTGCTTTGATTGCTTATCCTACGTTGCATCATTGACTTGCTGTTACGTTATTTCATATTTACAATCACGTAGCATATTACGTTGATTGCTGCATAGATTTGCTGTATATTTAGAATGAACTATGTTCGCCTTAGAGTTTTTTTTTTTTTTTTTGGGAGGGGAAAAACAAGAAAAGGTGTTAAGCATCAAAAAATGACGCCTAAGTCGAATGTTAGTTTTCTTTCATGGTTGGTAAAAATATCTTTAAGGTTTTTTTTTTTCAATCGCTTGACGAAATAATAGAAAACCAAAACGTTTGCAATAATTCTTTAATAGAGTGGGTAGCAGTAAGATTTTCTAAACTTCTCTCTCGCTTTGCACGTTACTTGATTTTAAAAGTGCTCTTTATACAAAAAGTATTTGGGCATCTTTAATTACTATAAAGAATAAGTTGAAAATGAAGCGAATAATTTAATGAGAAACATTTACATATATTTTGGTGTATGTAATTTCATACCATCCGTCTCAGCTGGTCATATAATAAAACGTGCTTTCAATTTCTATTCCTATCAGCGAAGGATGGGGGGAGTACGCATTTTGTTGAAACGTTTGCAGCGCTCAGAAGGAAGCACCCCAGACGCAGATCCCACAACGCAAATATATATTCTTGATCAGCATCAAATTTTATATCAATGTAACCACGTCCGTCTGTCCGTCTTTGTAATATCTGTTGTAAAATGAAGCTATCGACTTCAAATTTGGCAGAAACATTTCATGTTCTTCAAGCGCAAGTTGGCATTGAAAATCCGGCCAAACCGGTTGAAGGACACGCCCACAGGAATAAAAAGTTGTTTTCTTGCTTATTACACGCAAACTGTAGCAGACGAATGCACAATAATTTGAATCCACATTCCATGGGCCATAGTGCCTATATAAAAATTGGAAAGGTCGACCTCGCCTACCCCATATTATAGTGCATGAAAATTAAATTTTTTTTAAAATACCTTTATATCACGCGGAAGTAAGCTTCAAAAACCCCATAAGGAATATAAACTCTTGGCCAGTTTCAAATTCCGAATGCATCTAAGTATCATCTGTCCGTCTGCGAAATCCTATGGTGTATGTGGTATAGATTCTCTCGTTGGCGGGAATGAAGATATCACCCCAAAATTTGCTAAAAAATTTGGAAGTGCCCTAAACGTTTCCAACGACACGCCTACAAAAAAAAAAATTTATTCGCGCCCATTCCATATTATAGAGAATGAAAATTTACTTCTGTTACTTTCTTTGTTTCTTTTAGGGCAGCGGTGACGGATATGAAAGATTCGGTCAAATTCGAATATAATTTTCATACTTGTTAATATTAATTAAAAGTTTGGTTTAGAGATTAAGTGAGTAAATCTATCTATTTTGCATGAAAATGCTGCATTTCTTTCTATACTATTTGAGCTTTACATCTTTGGTGCAGATATAAGCATGTTCCGTATTTGAATATATTCTCCCTTCTCGTGGTTATAAAAAATTTTTTGTAATGGTATGTTTAGCTCTTGTCACTCCTTTGAAAAGCAACTTAGATCCTTAAAATGTTCTTCACTAAATGCACCGCATTCAGTACACGCCAAAATTCATTTGTAAGCCTAGCTCGATTTCTTTCAGTTTTTCTAATTTTTTTATTTTAAATCACCAATCACTTAGCGAAAGTCTCCTATTTGTGTAACACGAGGACGATTACAAAGAAATGAGAAAAGAGATATAGAGAGAGCGGTGGCCGTCGTCTTATGGGTGCGTCCTTAATCAATTGGTGTTGCGTCTACACCGATTGAGCGTTTACTATAGTTACGACGATAATTAATAATTTTTTTTCCATTCGATAGGTACTTTTATAAAGATTCACATGATACAGGTGAATATAGGCGACATTTTCTAGTTTGGCCGCACTAGAGTGTCAAATTTGGATGTTTTTCCATATGTATTTGTCGCTAACATACAAAATTTCAAATACCATTAAAAATAGTTCCCATAGGCAGAATTTGAATCTGTTTAGTTTGTTTGAAAGGTAGTTTTATATGGATTCATGAAATGTCCACAAAAATATATCCTTTTTTTTTAATATGGACGGACTAGGCTTTCAAACCAACTATATCTCAATTGTAATTATATAACCTGAGCTCTGTTATGTAATTAACAGAGGTATGTTAACAGAAATGGTAGGTGTCTTTACTAGTTAAATTCGAATTTATCTTCACACCCTTTAAATACAATGTAGAAAAGAGAAAAAATTTCCCGTCTATTTCATTATGTTCGCCTGTTCTTCTATGTGTTGGTATGCAACACACTCAACCCGGTTGTGTCGACTTCGCACTTCTTAATTATAGCGCTAGCCCGGGTAATGGACAGGAGTCCTTTTTTCAAACGGTATATAGTCAGTCAGTCATTAACAAGAAAAAACTTTTGGAAAATTTTGTTATGTGCTCTCTTTTTTGGTTCTTTAATATCCATTATTAGTATTTTATAGGAAAGTGCGCGATCGTCAATGTGAGAAATTCTTAGGCTGCATCAATTACGACACATATATTACTTATAATTATTATCGGTATTTATTTTTTGTTGTTGTTAAAATTCTTATTTGCATTACTTTCACATTTGATCTGTTCCGATGTTTATTTCACTTTCATTCTTCTGCTTTACATTTTAGGCTAATTAAGAATAAAAATCGAAAGAAAAGTGTCCAGTTGATAAGAGTATAAATAGAGCACAACTCCTTCATATCGAAAACACTAATTTACAAGTATCTATGGCGGTAAAGGATTTCATCAACAACACCGAAAATAATTGAATTCATTTGCTTTAAAGAAAAGAATCAAACTGCATCCATCCATATCCGGTATTGTGTCGAATGTCGACAAAGTAGAGGAAAAACTGTATTATTAGAAATAATTATCCCAGTGTCCAGCTTAATTTAAACGCTTCAAGGATTAAAGGAAAAACAACCATCCATTCATCACACATCACATTAAAAGTTTTTGATATCTGCTACTATTCGTATACTAGAGGTACTATTTACATCAATACATCACACAATTAGTAGTAGCCGCTACTGTACACGTCAATCAAGGCAACAAGAACAATCGTTTCAATTTTTAAAGTCCGAAAACGTGTTGACGAAATGTTTATCGAAGATGATGCACAGTGAGTACAAACTGCTTTCTTTTTTTTTTCATATACATGTTTGTTTAAATAATTATCGTTGTTGTTTTTGTTGTTGTTTTTGTTCTTACTAATATTGTATTGTGGGACGGTTTTTCGGGTATTATTATCATCATCCATTTGAAAACGTTTATTTATATACTTGCGTGTAAAAGTTCATTCACAAAATATTTCAGATAATGTGCACACACACGTACACACGTACAGCACGCTGATGATTTTTGTTTCTTACTCGGGTTTGCGAACCTCTTATCAATTTTTGAATGACTGTTCTTCACGGGTTCATGTCACCCAAAGTCTTGATAAAATGCCTTTTTAACTTCCTCAACGCAAGGATGAATTTGAAATGGAATTTTTGTAAGCGAACGTTAGGTCCAAGATCCAAGATCCAAGAATATTTTAAAATTAATAACAAGCACATCAGTTACCCATAGAGACTGAGCTTATAAAAGGTTTTTCATTTGAAAAGCAAGATCATGTAAATTGTCGAAAAACCTCCTGCTTCGAAATTTGTAATGCTTTGCCTCTACACAATGCAATGATGGAGCGAACAGATGAACGACTGTAATTTTTCGGAATGTTTTCAGATTTTGCGACAGTTGTTATGAAGAAAGCTCAATTAGCTAGCAAACTGGCACCCGATAAATCGAACCTGCATTTGAAGTCCGTAGTAGTCCGCAGTTATCAATCCGTCCCAGATTAATGTGCTTTTACATTGACGCTTTTGTACAATTGGGATACACGGAGCCTGCCACCATTGCTTCCTAAGAGGCATTAGTACCCTACATTCCAAAATCGATAGCATAACGTGGATTTTGTTATGGTAACCGTTTAGGTTAAGATGATCTGAAATTTTTGCATAAAGCGGCAATTTCCGTTGCAACATCGCACTTCAATACTTTTGTGGTACTTTCGCGAACTATTGTCTTTAAAAACTCTCCGAAGAGTTCTTCTCAAATATTAGATCGACACGTAAAACACCAGGACTCAAGGTTTCGTAACTCCTAGCACAGAAAGTCTATGGTAAGACAATTCGCGTAGATTTTTCAATGATCTTCGAGCAAATATTCACGAATTTCAATATATCCAGTCAAATATTGATTAATTTACATAAAGACATGTTTTGTTTATAATATTTGGTAAAAAAAATTCTCGAAAAGATCTATTTGACTAAAATCCCTCTGAAATTTCGTTAACAGAATTCTGTTAGTGACTTGACAGAGTTCTGCGGACATTTTTCGTATTGTGTCTTTGCACTGACTTCACATCCTTTTTAAATTGAAAGAAATTTCCGACCGTTCGACCGACCGCAGCGTTATACGTACTCTCGATCCGATCGAGCTTTTCTAAATTGATTTAAAAATGTCCACGCGAGGTCAGTCCGCTTAACGTTTGCTTTTAAAACACATCGGCTCGAAATTTTGAGTAGATGGGGATTGGAGCTTTAATCATTTGAGCAAAATATGTAATTTGTTCATTTCCTTAAATTTAATTGAGTGTAAAAAAATGGTTTGCCACACTTCGAACAAAGTACGAAATTTAACGTTTCATAATTTCTTTATCAGCATCTTTGCATTTGAAATCTGTTGAGATGAAACGCGTATGTGCTGCGCCCTTGCGTTTTAAACGAAATGTCATTACTTCACTAGGCAGCGCATGTTGGGAGACGACCATTTCTATTTCTCTCTCATTCTTTTTTCTAAGTCTCGACATTTACAAAAAATTCAAAAGACATTTTAATCGACTTTAAAACTCATTAGCGCGAGCGATAAGATTACACTAAACGTGGCATATTGCTTGCAATCACATCTATGCCTTTTCAAGATGATATATAAGATTGTGCATAGCCCTAGATGGGGTCCTAAACAAATAAACTTTGAAGTAAATTTTAGAGGACATTAATCATTTCTTTTTAAAAACCGCACGCACTCCTGACTATGCGGGTCTCACGTTGACGAAACGGAAACGTGAGACGAAAAACTCGCACAGAAGATCTGAGAAAGCCGCTCTCTACTTTCCTTGCTAGCTAGCGATCATTCTTTAAATGAGAAGCGAACTTGTTTACAACTTACTTACTAAAGTTTTCAATTTTTATATTGCACGCTTAATCAGTCGTTTAGAGATAAATAAAACATTCGAGTGACATTTGACTGCAAGATAAGGCGCACACCGTTTATTACTAAAACGAATTTTTTTGTACACTTCTCTAAGACATCCTGCAACACCGTCATTCATGGTGACTAGTACACAAATGAAAACTTTTTAGAAATATTGAGTCGTAAATGTTAATCAATTTTGGAACCGATTTTTGAGTTTAATCTGATACTTTAAACAGAACTTTTCGCTATACAGGTCAATGGAAACAATGTAGAGCGATTTTGGTTGGTCTTCGTGGAGGTTCTTCGGTAGGCACAAAAAAGAAAACACAGAATTGGATTTCAGACGATCAAGGGTGAATATATAATTCCGATTTATGGATAGCTTTTCTACTTTTACAAAACACTGAACAGGTATTTTAAATTCGTTCCCAGCCAACGTTACTGAAAACTAAAAAGCTTATTGATTACAAAATCTATTTTACTGATTAGAAGATGATAATAAAGTGAATATATATATATGTGTGTGTGTGTGCTTCTTATCTGTCTCGCTTTTCGTCGTTTACAACATGGGTATAAAGAGCAGAAAGACAAAAAAGCGAAAAAACAAAATCTTCAAGTACCGACTGCATGTTTTCATTGTATTTGATTTTAAAATTTTGTAATTCTTTTCCGTCTAGTTTTTAGTAGTGCTTTGCTACGAGAGGTGTTAACAGGTTCGACAACAAAATTTGCATGTCATTTTCCTTTACATTGTAATATTTGATCTTTATTTTAATACATTTATAACTGATTTGGAATTACATTCATATACTTATTTTTGTTGTTGTTTTGTTCTTTGCAATTTCAGAATGGACAGCTTTTGGATTCAAGGAGCAATTGGTGCCATTAAGGCCATTGCCTTTGTTTGTGATATAATTACGTTGCCGGTGTATTTGGTTTTACAAAGACCGTGGAAACAAAGACAAGAATCCAAACGTGTTAAGGTTTGTGTTTATAAACTCTCCTCTTCTTATATATGAATTAAAGTGTGCTTTTGGCATCAATTGTGTTAGTTTACTCTAACCAAGGGTTTTTCTTTTTTCCATTTTTTTTTTTTTTTTTTTTGGTGAGAAAATTGTCTACTTTGGTTTGCGCAGTTTGTGTGTTAATCTTATATGATGTAAAATAACCAAGAATACTACTTTGTAAAGAGCGCATTGCGGAGACTATGAGGACTTCAGTAACACGTAGACTTTGATAAATACTTGGAATCTCATACATGCATACTATATGGAATAGGTAATACGGCCATGAGTAAGAGATTTGCATTGGTCTGAATAGGTACCACCTCAATAGGGCACTTGCAGTCGCAACTGCACTTGCGAATGATTTCAATCTCTTCAAACTAAATTCGATGCAACGGACCTATTTAAATTCCTTGGGGCACGAACGATAAACTTTAGGTTAAATTTCTTGGTCCACAGAAGAATTTGAAATAGATCCACCCTTAATCACACCGATCAGAAAGAAAGATTCAGGACGTAATTCTGCATCTATCTGACCTTGTCTGTCCGTCTTCTATTCTTGTGCTTAGTCTGCAAAACGAAAAGTTTGGAACATTTTGCTGAAATTTGGTTCGAGTTTTGACACAATGGATGGTTTTGGATCCGGTTTTTTGTTCGATTCCCATATAATACCTTATTTAAAAAAAATCGTTATATAAATAAGTGCATTCAGCGAAGTGGTAGGATATCTAATGCTTCTAAGGTTTTTACTTGTTTTTGGTTGTTTTTGCTGACGCATTGAGCCAATCCCCGAAATTCCCCTGCTGCCATCCACTAAGTGTGTATACGTGTGAACTTTCGATTATCATTTTTAGTTATTGCAGCCGCAAAAACTCGGTCTATAAGTGCAACATATAAAAACTTAGATAAAAAAATCAATTTCTCAACTATTCATCGCTACTTGATAACAAGTGTGCGCGTTCATTACGGACTTTCGTTCGGTATTAACGGCCTCTGTTGATTTGTTGTTGTTATTAGCATTTGCTTTTCTGGTTTCTCAAGTTGTTTACATAATTCTTTACATCCAAACGCAGAAAACTTAAGATAATGTTGGAATTTTAAAGCGCGCTCTATGTCAGGATCAGCAGTAAGAAAATGTTGCTTAACATTTGTAGCAAGTTTCGAAGCATTCGCGAATTATTTCTGCCGTTAATGGCTAAACTCTTTTTTTCATTTTTTTTCTTAGATTCGTGTTGGAACGAAATATTCATACAAACAGAGTGCGTTTGTTTCCACAAGTGAACCGTGTTATTTCAAATTCGTGTAAAAAAAGTTTTGGGTTTAGTAGCTTTTTTGACTTTTTTATATCTTGCCTTTAGGTTTATATTTTGAATGTTAGCATGATGAACGAGCGGAATTTGTGGAAAATGAACGCAGTGGTATTCGAATTTTGCAGAACTTCTTGTAGATTAAGCTCGGAAGGTTAGTTAGTTGTGTTAAATTTTGCAGTCAGTCTGGTATTGCGTAAAATACATTAAAGATGATTCTTGTACAAGACAGTTAAAGAATTTTTCTTCATACGCTAAGACAGTCTTAGTTTATATTAAAAATATTTTCTCTTTCTTCTTTTTTATCTTCTTTCTAATACATTTTGTATAATCATCGATTTGTATCGTTGTGTTTATGTATGTTTTTAAACAGGCTATACCTTTGATAACGGCCAATGAAGAGGATCAATCTCGTTCTTATTCAACGGATGATATTGAGGTTTAATAAGATTTTACTCTTTATTATATTCTTTTAATTCTCAATTTTCAATTAACTTTTCTTTTTTTTTTTTTTTTTTTTTTTTTTGTAAATATCGGAATTTATTGTATGGTTCGTTGGTTGGTTGGTGCTGGGTTAAGGTGTTTGGCTATTAATACCAATCTTAAAAGCACTTAAATGTGTTATTTGTTTTCTTTTTTTTGTGTTTTCTAAAACAATCACTTTTATTATTATCATTAGTTTTGATGGGCACCATGTTGAATGGATTGAGTTTCGGTTACTTTAATGTCGTGGGCTTTATTTAGGAAAATATATTTTGATTATTATTAGCGTTCTCTCTCTCTCTCTCTCTCTCTCTCTCTCTTTCTCTCTCTCTCTTACGATAAAATGAAATGAATTTGAAATTTTCCTTTTCAGGCCAAAGTTGTAACAAAAGATAGTACGGCTGTTACGTATCGCACAATTGAACCGCCACGCGATGTCCACATTAAGATGCTACAAGCGAATATTGATACGCTTGAAAAGATGTTTAATTATGTGACGCGAACGCATTCGACAAAACGATGTTTAGGCACTCGGCAAATCTTAAGCGAGGAAGACGAGTTGCAACCGAACGGACGTGTCTTCAAAAAGTACAATATGGGCGATTACAAGTGGAAAAATTTTATTGAAGTTGAACGTATGGCGTCGGCGTTCGGTCGTGGTTTACGTGAGTGCGGTCAACAGCCTCGCCGGAATGTTGTTGTGTTTGCTGAAACACGAGCGGAATGGATGATCGCTGCTCACGGCTGTTTCAAACAATCCATGTCTATTGTCACCGTGTATGCGACGCTGGGCGATGAAGGTGTAGCCCATTGCATTGGTGAGACGGAAGTGACAACAGTAATCACCTCACACGATCTTTTGCCAAAATTTAAGGTGTTATTAAACAAATGCCCGTTGGTGAATACCATTATTTTCATGGAGGACCAATTACACAAAACTGAAACGACGGGCTTTAAAGAAGGTGTCAAAATATTACCATTTTCGCAAGTAATGCGTATGGGTCAGGAGAGTAAATTTGGTATGATAAGCCTTTAAAATTGGAGCAAGAAAATGAAAATTCTAAGATATTCTTAAAATTAATTCTTAAAATTTTAGAGAGTGTTCCTCCGAAAGCAGAAGACATTGCTATTATTATGTACACCTCGGGTTCGACGGGTACACCGAAGGGTGTATTATTGTCACATAGAAATTGTATAGCTACAATGAAAGGTTTTTGCGATGTCGTGCCTATATATCCCGACGATTTGTTAATTGGGTAAGAATTTTTTTTTGTTCTTTTTTTTTTTTTTTTTGTAATAACAATTATATCCATGTTTTTATTTGACGTTTTAGTTTCCTTCCTTTGGCTCACGTTTTTGAATTGTTGGCCGAAAGTGTTTGCCTAATGACCGGAGTTGCCATCGGTTATTCGACTCCGCTTACACTGATCGATAGTAGTAGTAAAATAATGAAAGGCTCTAAAGGCGACGCCACGGTTTTAAAACCCACTTGCATGACCACAGTGCCGGTACGTGAAAATGTTTATATATCAAAAAACTTTAGTTTATTGGAAATTTTACTTTTAGCTTATATTGGATCGAATTTCGAAAGGCATAAACGACAAAGTGAATGCTGGATCACCTTTTAAAAAGGCTTTATTTCAATTTCTTTATCAATATAAAATCAAATGGATTCAAAGGGGCTATCATACACCCCTTGTCGATAAGTAAGTGCCGAAAATTTGTTTCCAGTCATTTAGTTTTACTTGCTCGTCACTATTTACCGGCTTTTTCATTATGTTTTCATTCACATTTATAGATTAATTTTCAAAAAAATTGCGAAATTAATGGGTGGCCGCGCGCGTCTTATGATGTCTGGCGGCGCTCCTTTGTCGCCTGATACTCACGAGCAAATAAAAGTATGTTTATGCGTGGACTTAATACAAGGCTACGGTTTAACGGAAACAACATCAGCAGCTACGGTCATGGATTGTGAGTGGTATATCAGTTCACCTTTTATTCACAATATTTATTTTTTATTTTTTTATTGTATCTTTACCATAGACCGTGATATGCAATATGGTCGCACCGGTGCTCCTTTGACGATTTGTGATGTACGTTTGGTGAATTGGGAAGAAGGCAACTATCGTGTTACCAATAAACCGTATCCTCAGGTGGGGCGAAGCTTAAACACATATATTTTATAAAAAAAATTAATTTTTTTAGTGTCATAAATTGAGAAGTTAAAAAGCAGTGCCACGGTAAATTTCATAGCTTTATCAATTGGACTAACTTACGTGACTAACAAAATGAAACATATGGATTGCTAAAGTGTGTTAAGTAAATGAGGAGCCGAGTAGATGTGAAACGCGGCTGCCACCGTTGGTGGATTCAAATAACTATAGTCAGTGCTCAGTTAGCAAAGTCCTAACACTCACCAACTTGACTGCGGTTATTCCCTTGCTCTTTCCTCACTTCTTTCTGACCATCATCGTGTTACACGTTTTAGGGATCCCTTGGCTTATTTCGCATATCAGAAAAAAAAAAAAAAAATCGGAGAAGAAACGAGTATTCGTTCAAGAGCCCCTTTCTCAAAGTCTTTTTTAAAGTCCTACCTTGTCAGTTCCTCATCGAAAGAGGTATATCAGATTTTTTCTTCCGTGTCAACATTAAAATGTACGCATTAGAAACTTAATAAAGTATTTGCTCAGTTAGCGTAAAATTCTAAACCGACTTGGTCGTATTCTTGTTCCTTCTGTCGACGCGCTTACATTGGAATGCCCATATTGTTGTGCATAAATTGCTACGAATTTTAATTAGTTTTCTCATTCTAACGTGTGCCTTTAGCTGATTGCCTGACAATAGAAAAATTTACCTCTGAAGGGTACGTAGGCTTAAAATTGCTGTCAACAGTATTCAGTTCATTACAGACTATCGGCGATTATGCGGGGTACAAGCCTAGCTCTGAATAATCTAGCAATGGGTAATTACAAGCGATTGCATTCTAGGAGATAACGCAAATATGAACAAAAGAAAGGCCTGCTTTTTATTTTTGTTTGCAATCTGAAATCATAGGAATTGTTATTAAAAAGCTAAGATTATCCATTATTAATTTCTAAAAGATTTTAAAGTTCAGACTAAGGTCGGATTAACCAGCGATCTACTTTATATCTTTTCCGCTTTTATTGTCTTTTGAATTGCACCTTCTTCGAGGTTTTCGAAAAGCTCATTTTGTATATGTTAACAAGCACATTTGTTGTGAGACCCTCCTGAGACCCTCATCTTTTTTTGTGATCGCTTGTTAATGTAAAAACATTTATGTGAGAGTTTTCGTAGAAATCTTTAAAAAAATAGTAATTATTAGTATTATTATTATTATTATTATTAATTTCGCCAGAGAAATAAATTCTAAGACTAAACTCTTAAAAGCACTAGCATCTAAGGCTATCGGCTTTTTATTAAAAACTCTACCGCACTTGAGATTCGAACCCACGACCATTGACTTGCTAGTCGAGATTCCTCCCCTTCGGCTACTCAGGCGGATTAAAAATAGTAATTAATAACAATAATTCGTTCTATTGCCGATAGTTATGCAAGAAATTTAAAAATTTATATCAAATTTTTTTATCCAATCACTTAATTATTTAATTTGCAGGGAGAGGTTCTGATAGGAGGTGAATGTGTCTCCATGGGCTATTATAGGTTGCCTAGTAAAACGGCTGAAGACTTTTTTGAAGAAGATGGAAAGCGTTGGTTTAAAACCGGAGATATAGGAGAAATGCATCCTGATGGTGTACTTAAAATTATTGGTAATTATATGTGACAACTTTTTGTGCTCATCGCCAAATGACGAAAGTGTAGTAGATTTTGAGTCCGTTTATTTGTCACCTCCGCATTTGCAATATTGAGGGTTGCAAAAGTTGAGGTAGAAGGCTTTTAGCGGATGGCTACAACAGAGTCAGAAATAGAGAAAATGTTCCAGATTACATTTCGCGAACGTTTGCAAATTTTTTCTGAAATCTGTTTGCATGAACGGACCTGCAAATATGGTCAGTTTGGGCAAAATATTTTATCTCTCTAAAAGAAGCTGATACTGAGGAAAACTTGTACGCGATCGGGCAAATTGTTTTACACTTTTGTGCATTTGGATGAAACGACGGGCATCATAAATTGGCCTCAAGCCGGTTGTAACGTTTTCAGTTGTTTTCTCTAAGCCGTGCTTTAACTTAATATTTTTTATGCCATTTTGCAGATCGTAAAAAAGATTTAGTTAAATTACAAGCCGGTGAATATGTGTCCTTAGGTAAAGTGGAGTCCGAATTGAAAACTTGCACGTTAGTGGAAAATATTTGTGTATATGGTGATCCGACGAAACAGTATACAGTGGCGCTGGTGGTACCAAATCAAAAGCATTTAGAAGAATTGGCTCAACGGAATGGGTTAGATAGTAAATCGTTTGAGGATTTGTGTTCGAATCCTTTAATGGAGAAAACTGTTATCAAAGAGATTGCGGAACATGCGAAGAAGTGTAAGTATGAAGCAAAAATTTATTCAGAATTAATCATTAAGTGAATAATTTCTTGCATTAAATCGATTCATTTATTATTTTATTGAAACTAAATGTTTGTACTACTCAAACAGTTTGACCTTCCATTTAATGAGAGAGAGGCAAATAATTGACACAGTGAACTCTCTCGACCATAGGCGTTATATTTTGTTTATTCCATTCATCTGTGTGTTTTATTGAGACTATTGAGATGAGACTATTTTAGAAATAAAAAATATATTTCCAATTCATTCACAACTCAGTGCGTTCAAATAAATTGGAATAAAGAGTAGAACATAACCCCAAAAGTGTCAAAAGATGAAGAGACTTCATTATGCATATAGAAACACTCTACATTATCTGTCTTTATACAAACTGATTTTTGTTTTCCTTTTAGGTAAATTACAAAAATATGAAGTACCCGCCGCTATAACTTTGTGCAAGGAAGTTTGGTCGCCGGATATGGGCCTAGTTACTGCGGCCTTTAAATTGAAACGCAAAGATATCCAAGATAAATACCAGCATGATATTAATCGAATGTACGCTTCATGAAAGTGATTGTATTAGTTCAATAGTACTATTTCTTAAGTACAACTCTAAAAATCAACAACAACAATAATAATAATAATAATAATAATAGTAATGATAATAATAATATTAACAATAATAATAATAATAATATAACATTAATAAGAAAAGGAAAAATAGCGGCAAAAAGAAACAAAACAGCAGCAACAATAATAATAAGAACAATAATAATAATAATAATAATAATAATAATAATAATATAATCACACACAACACAACAACAAATATAAAAGTGTAAAAGATTTAACAGCTTTAACAACAATACGAAACCAATAATAATAAACCTAATTGTGGTTAATGTTAAATCTATTAAAAGGAAAATAGAAAACTACAAAGAATTCTATTCGCAAAAGAAAGTGAAGAAAAAACGACAAGAAAACATTTAGCAATACTTATATAATAATTCATAAAATATTGCTAAAGAAAATACATATTTAAAAAAGAAAGTTTATATCAAATTATTTATTACTTTTAGAACAAGAAAACATTGATACACACATAGATGATTCACATGATTCTTTAATTGTAATTTAATTTCAAGAAGAAAAAAAAAATAAGAAAAATATGATGAAATCGTTTTCGATTTTATTGTTATAAAAAAATAAAAAATTATTATAAATAAAAAAAAAAAATAAAAAAAACTATATATATATAATAAACTATATAAAATCAATCTTCGTTAGCATTGTGTGTATAAAACAAAAAAAATAAGATTTTTTTTTTAATATCGTAAAAATTTTTAAATGTTTTGGTTATGTATTTACCTAAAAACTCCTTAATATAAAAAAAAAACAAAAACAAAAAAAAAACAGAAATTGAATAAACTTCATGTAAACAAAGTAATACTACAAAGTCTATGAGTTAGTAAAACAGATTCAGTTAATCCCTACTGTGTTAATTTTTGTTCTAATGTAATTTATTTGAAAATGAAAAGAAAAAAAAAACAAACTTTTATTTAGAAGCATTAAAATCAAAAATTAATAAAAATGCGAAAAAATGTCTCTAGGCAAAAGTAAAAATACGTATTGAAATTTCACGCAATTATTGTAAATTTATTCTTTAATTTATTGCAATTTTTTCACTCATTTAAGTTTATCTGAGTTTTTGTACAACAATTCTAGTGTTGTAGAACGGAAAAAGCTTTGAATGTCTGTAATAAGAAATGTCCTTTCAATTAATACCTATGAATATTGTTAATAGTTTAAGCGTATGAAGTACTTTATATATAGGATTAGTGCAAAACTAAATTTTAAGGAATTTAGTACTATGGAAGAAAAAAAGAATTGAAATAAACTCAAATGTAAAAATGAAAGAAGGATTTTTTGTCTTGGAATAATTTCTGCGGATCTATATTTCTACAGATGCGTGCACTTGGAAATCCGGGGGAAGATCCAATAGTACCGTCTATATCGATTGCGAGTTTGAATCGCTTTGACAAAATGGGGCTAACGAAGTGCCGTTCAAATAATTATGTAATTGTTAATGCGAGCTATCGCGGATTTTATATGTACGGACTTAGCATATTATAGCTTTAGTCATCACGGTCATATTTTTTTGTTATGTTTTATATACATTTCTTGCCTGTTTAATGTCTACACATACAAGCCACAAATTCATTGACTTGGTCTATCTCAACTCGACATACAAAAAATAATAATAATAATTACTTCGGACATTAGTGTTTATAAAGGAAAATTAAATGTGCTGCCATATAATTGATTTAAATAGTTATAAAAAGAGTTTGGCAAAAAATTAAGTAGATTTCTTTAGTTTTACACAAAGTTGCAAAATAGAAAATAAATGAATTCACATTTCATTGTTGCATTTTTTGTGACGTCATTATTTTTACTATAGCTGCACGACGAATATGTATCAGTGCTAAAGCTAATGCAAGGAGAAACCGCGAGCTGTAGCCTTACCTAATTTTATTCCAATTAATTAACAATTATATAGGCTATGGACATCTCACGTGTGACTTTACAGAATCAAACAAAAATTCTCTAACTAAAATCGAACACAAATTTCTCGCACTAACAAAACCGAACGTAAATTTCTCTCACTAACAAGCGCAAATTTCTCGCACGTGCATATCTAACTTTTGTTAATCATTGAAACTGTCAAAACTATACGACCAGAAAAGTATACTGTACGACCAGAAAAGTATACTGTACGACCAGAAAAGTATACCATACGACCAGAAAGAAAGAATTCGTGTAAAACAAGTGTATTGGCAAACCGTGTTATTTACAAATATATACACAAATATCTAAACAAATATTTATTCATTTAGTTTATTCATTTTAATCGAAATATTCGATTGGAAATTAAATATAATCAACGATAATCGAATTAATTAAAAGAAACGGTGAAGATCCGACGTCGAAAAGCCAGCATTAGGGTCGTTTTCGTAACTACGATTAAAGCTGGCATTGATACGCTTCCATGCCCACTCAGTGTAGAAATGTCCACTACCTTAGTAAAAAATCTATCGCTTATTGCAACGAAATTCTCCGAGTTGCAGCATTCCGTACAGGAATTATAGAAAAATTCACTGAATATCGCCTTTCTATGGAGGTATCTCCTCAAAACATGAAGTAGACCTGTGGTCTCTTCCTCATTGAGATATTCAAAGTAAGGGTCTAGAACATTATTAAAAGACAGAGTGGCTTCCAATAAATACAAATTCAAACATCCCCGACCACGAAGAATATCTCAGACCACGAATTTCCCCGACCAAAAAAAATTTCCACGACCATGAAAATTTCCCAGACCGTAAATTTATTATTATTACTATCCAAGAGCCGTATAAGAGACTGTATGTATTGCAATTTAATGCAGTATCGCCATTTATCTACAAAGCATGATCCCAATTGGAATTGAAGTCATAACCTCTTCAGTGTTTGTTCATTTATAACAATTAAAAAAAAAATAACTTGAAGGAGGAGCAAACAGCGTAAACACATAAGCATTAGAAAAAACTTCTTCCGCGAATGGTTCCTCAATGGCCATGAATTCTATACGATTTGATAAATTGAAGATTATCGAGGGTCCATATTATGTTCCACGGAAACAAGCCAAAAAAATGGCGGCAACGGAGCATGTTTGAAAATTAAAGCAATCGAAGAATTGTAAACGTGGACTAATTCCAGATTGTTTCGCAAGCCATTTCACTAACCGTCCCGTATACGTAACACAATTCTTTATTACGACGACTCGGTGTCGTATAGTTTAAAAGAACGTTTATTTTACTTCTTCAGGACGCTCTATACCTACATATGCAAAATCTGTTTCAATTGATGTCGTATAATCATGAGAAAAATCCTTGGCTTTTATTAATATCTTTCCCCGATAGTTCCTGGCAAAGGGAGTTAGTTTTTATCCTTTGCGTACCTACTTCCAAAGGGAGGGTCGTATACTCATTTTGTCAAAACGTTTGCAACTCCCAGAAACAATTTCCAAAAACCGAATTGGTTTACTTATGTCCGTCTGCGTAATGTCTGTGGTAAAATTTTCTCCTAGGCCCAAAAATACAGGTGTTGCCATCATCGAAGGATGATGTCAAAAGTTTTTCAACAACTGGAAAAAAGTTCAATGGCCCCACAAAATACATATATTATTGATAACCATCAAATTCTGAATCGATTTAAGCACAATCCGCCTGCCCATCTTTGTAAGTCTGTCGTAACCACTCTCCTGGGCCTAAAAGTGACGGTATCAAGTTCAAATTTTCCAAATACATTGAAAGTTGTTGCACGCAGGTTCGTATCGAAAACGGTTCAAATCGGCCGAAGCACACACGCAGAGTGCAAGAGATACTAAGAACATCTCTGCTTCTTGGGGTTTTGAGCTTATTAATCATTAACCAAAATACTCATGCGATAAAAATCTCCACTTTTAGCCCATAAAAAACGAAAAA